ACAGGGCAGACCCTACAATGAGAGACTGCGGGACCTGAACCTGTTCAGCCTTCACAAGAGAAGGTTGAGGGGGGACCTGGTGACAGTCTATAAACTCACTAGGGGGGACCAGAAGGGTTTGGGAGAGACCTTGTTTCCCCTAGTACCCCCTGGCATAGCAAGGAATAATGGCCACTAGTTGTTGGAAAGTAGGTTTAGATTAGACATCTGTAAGAACTACTTCACAGTCAGGGCGGCTAGGAGCTGGAACCAACTTCCAAGGGAAGTGGTGCTGGCTCCTACCCTGGGGGTCTTTAAGAGGAAGCTTGATGCCTACCTGGCTGGGATCATTTGAGCTCAGTTTTTTTTTCTCCTACCCTGGCAGGGGGTCGGACTTGAAGATCTACAAGGTCCCTTCCGACCCGACTTCTGTGATTCTATGATTATGGTGTGGCTATTCCATGGTGGTCTGGACTAGGCTCACAGGCCAACCCAGAGCATTTCTTTAGTCTGTTTCTCTGCCAAAGTTCTTTTGGCTATCAGTAAGTCTTCTTTTAACCCATGCCTGCCTTGGAAATAATTCTTAATTGTCACGTACTTTTCAAAGAATGTGTAGACGATGGGGGAGAGTGAGGGCAGGAGCAGTGTGTTGCTGTACTTTCTGAAAGGAGATATGCCCAGCCAGACAGGGGGGAGGCTGCACCTGGGTGGCTCCTGCCCAGCATGTGGGGCTCCAATCTCTAGCTTCTGGCCCCCTTTCATCCACTTGTCTGCCTGAAGGTGGCTGCTTACTGCTCCAGGTAAGCGGAGTGGGTGGAAGCTGGTTAGGAGCTGGAAGTGGAGCCACCTGACTACAACTTGTAGAAAAAACATTTAAAGCTGTGTCCATGTCTGAATCATTGAATCTCTCCGAATCAATTCGGAGGGTTCTGATTCGATTCAGAGAGATTAAAGAATCTTCTGATTTGATTTGGTGATTCGGCCACCGAATCGGGCCGAATCTCCGCTGAATTGAATCAGCAACTGAAGCTTTGCACATCCACAATGTAAATATGTATATGTATATGTTTGATTTTTAGTATATGATTTGTTTTTTATCTATAATTTGTTAAAATGATATCTTCTGAAAGAATTTTTGTTTGCGGCCCTCAACAGCTCACGGAAACTGTCCCCCTAGCCAAAATAATTGCTGACCCCTGATTTATAGTGCCACGCAAAACAACTCCCAAGTCAACTGGGGTCTCTTGAGGCTTCTCTGATACTACATTGTTGGTAGTTGCATGTGATTTAGCTTTGCTTAAATTGGACCTTAACTGAATTATGTGTTTACCTCTTACTGAAGCCACATAATCCAAGAACCATGTTCCTTATGGAGCAATTTGTTCTGATCACTGGAAAGCTAATCCATCACAAATGCTGTTGTTAAAATATATATTTTTCTTTCCTAGCGACAATGCTTTTCTTCTTATGCCAGAGCTCTCTCCACGGAAGCTGAGAGGCCTACCTTTTGAAAAAGCAGCAGGATGCCATTATCATGGACTGGAGTAAGTTCCCTGCACTCTTTGATAAGATTGTTTCTTTAACACTGCTAATCAGCATAGACTTGCATTATGGGTGGCTTCCTATTCATTCACCCTAAATGCTGTTTATGGACAAGTAGTTCTAGGAATGTATGTGACTGAGTAATAGTTTCATTCAAACGCAACTTTTTATTTCTTTACATTTTTCCAAATTTCCTTGTATTTCCTTTTACTTTACCCTCATGATTTGAAACTGGCATCAACAGCAATATCCTTCTTGGGCTGGTTCTGAGAATGTGACAGGCAACAATTTCACACTCCTTGATGCATCTAAATCAGTCCTCCCATCAAATAAAAGAATCAGCAGAAGTTATCGTGTAGGCCATGATTGACAGCATCAGTTATTTATCAAGTGCTCCTAGGTCATTTATTAATATTGATGTTTACTACATATCTTAAAGATAAGATCAAAAACAGTGTGAGGTTGCTGGAAGTAATATTACCTGGCTGATAATGGAAGTTACTTCTAATAATATATTGCAGATTACATAGTGTGTTAGGGGCGAGGTGAATCAACAAATATTTCTATAGCTAGGGTATTGGGCCAAGACTACTGCATACCAAGCAGTAAATAGAAAATGAGTTTATGCATTGTTTGAGGGAAGGAGAATGTCTCATAACAAATTACTGTCTCCTGCTAAAAACAAGCTGTGTTTTCAGGCTGCTAAAAGCCCATTATTAGGCTCTTGATGCTAATGGGATTTTAGCCATTAACTTCAAAGATTTAGAAGGGTTGAGTATATGGCAGACGTCCAGTAAATGATAAAATAATTTAAATATAACATAAATCAGTTTCTTTAGTGGATCCAAAATAACTTCAAGAAGATTTCTTGTCCAGGTAAATTAAATCTGGTGGGTTTAGGTTTCTGGGTGCTGTTCTTTGTATAATGTACTGTGAGTGTATCTACATGAGACACTTTACTGCACATTAGACTAATGCATAGTAAAGCATCACCATCTACACGTGTGCAGCAATAACTGTGTGTTAAATTAGTCTAATGCGCTGTTTGCTAGTACCAATACAAGTACAGGTTTCCCTCACTCTATGCTGTACATTCATTTCTGGAAAACGGCACGTAACTCGGATTTACATAAAGGGAACCTATTTTACAATATAACAAATAGGGATACGTTTGAAGGCCTCGACTATGCTGACCACCAGACACATTTCTGCCACTTTTACGAGACAATTTTGGTACTCGGCAAAAGCAGACAGTACACATAAGCACAGGGCACTATCATAATGGGGATGGCAACTCCAGAAATATCTTGCAGATGAATGAGGAGCACAGATCCATACAGGAAACTATATGTTGCTGCGTGTCAGTCCCACAATGCACCACACAAAGCATCTGACTATGGGCTTCCGCCACACTGAGTTCATAAGAGTGAATTTAGCTCACATATAACAAATTTTTGGTATAAGATGGGTCATCTCATAAGAGCGAATTCACACATACAGAACCCGCATAAAGTGAGGGAAATCTGTACTAGAAAAAAGGCACATTAATTAATGCACCAAAGCACATGTGTAGACTCTGACTGGAAGCAGATTGCTCCTGGTCAGCCCAGGCAGCACAGGGCCACAGCTGCTGCCTGGCTAAGTCCCAGTTTTCATAGGGCGGGGGGAGTCAGAAGTAGATCTGGACTGAACTGCTCTCACTGGGAGCAAACTTCCTCCCAACAGGCACACGTTCAGATGCATGCCAAGGTGCAGTTTCATGCTCCTCAATTTTCTGCACAGAAAATTCAGGCACATTAATTGCACATGTAGATGCACCCAGTGATAATCTGTTACTTCCATGTTTCTTCGTATTTGTGTCCAGGAGGAAAACTTTGGCTGTAAGATTTAGGCCACAGAATTGAAGGGTAGTAGTTAGGATTAAACAAAGTTTCTGGTATAATGAACCAATGGTAAATACATGGATCTAGAGTTGCAAAAAGAAAGCAATTGCAATAAAAACAGACTGAGGGAAATGACAGCTTGCTTAAAATGAAACATTTTCATCTTTGTAAGAGACAAAAAGCTTATTATCGAGAATATAAATAAATACCTTGAAATTTGGAAGTTAAGAGAATTTTGTCTTACCAGATTTTTGACTTAATTTTTCTTGTGGTGAGCTCATTACTAAAGCTGATTAAATGATCTCTCTTAAGAAAAGCTCACTTCCTACTGAATTTTTTCTTACTGAATCTTTTTTGATAGAAAATGCGTAGTGCTGGCCTGATAATTTAGGGGCAGTGCAGTATGTCACCAGAGATCAGAGCACAGGTCATGTCTACTCTTTACAGGGATAGAGACCAGAGAGAATGCCTTATATTTCTTTTAGTGACCCCCTTCACTGAAAGATTGAGCCCCTGCAGTGAGGGAGGGGCTGGGGCAGGGACAGGTGCTGCCTAGTTGGGGCAGGGTGGGGCACAGGACAATGCTGCAGTTCATCTGGGGGGCACAGGGGGACATGAAGGGGTGGATAGCTCCTGCACTCTGGTCTCCCTTGGGAGAGACATGGGGGGCATGTGCCCCCCCATCTGTCTACAGGGTGAGGGTGGGATGCCCGTTGTGCATGTGGGGCCTGGGGTGCTTCAGTCTCTTCCCAGTGGCTGCTCTTGGGGTGAGGCAGGTGGTGGTGATGCTGGGAGGGGAGCTGTGCCGCTGGGAGGTGGCTGGAGCAGCCTCAGTCCCTGCCTGCAATGACAGCCTGTGTCCCCCCCACACAGATCTGGGGGGACATGTGCCCCCCATGCCTCCCCTTGTGGTGTGTGCCCCCCTCCCCCCCATGCGACCCGGATGAGCAGCATCTCCGTCCCGTGCCCTGCCCCACTCCAGCTAGGCAGCTCCTGCCCCAGCCCCAGCCCCACTCTGTCCCTCACTGCAGGGACCTCCATTTTCCTCCCTCATGCCCCTTGCTCCCAACAGACTTGCTAGTTGAACATTGTTTCCAAGCTGCCAGGCTGAATATCAATAATTGAATCGGTATCAGCCAATATGGTTGGTCAATAATTGGACATTGGTATCAGCCCAAAAAATCTTTGTCAGTGCACCCCTACCCAAAAGAGTTTCTGTACTGAGGTATTTTTGCATCATGTGGAACTCTATACTATGTGTAATGTCTGTCCACAGCATAGGTGGTAGAGGAAACAGGTAATAGCATATTATCTTTAAGAAAATGGCTACCTTAGGATAAATTGAGAACAACATATATAGCAGTGGTTTTCAACTTGTGAAATCCCAGGGGGTCCTTAGACTGTCTGAGGTGTTTGTGAAAGATGACTATGATCAATCAAAAGTATGTGAATATCCACACTTACAGTTCAAGGAGGTCTGCACCTCCGTTCAAAATTTTTTAGGAGTCTGCAAATGAAAAAGTTTGAAAACTACTGATATTTACAACATAGTCTTATCCCGGATCTACATCAGACCTGGGTAAGTTATACCAGCACAGGGCTGCATGACTTGTCTGTTCCTCTTGTTTAAACCAGCTGACCTTTTTTAAGGAATTCTTTGCCTCCATATTCCTGAACAGGGACCGGGACATTTTCCTCACTAGGATTATGGACAGACTTAGGGGAGGCACTGCCATGCCTAGGGTCAGGGACGACCTAGTTAGGGACTTGCCGGAGGGACTGGACATATTTAAATCAGTAGGTCCAGATGCTCTTCACCCGAGGCTGCTTAGAGAATTGGCGGGGGTCATAGCGGGGCCCCTGGCATGGGTTTATAAGTACTCATGGGGCTCTGGCCAAGTACAGAGGATTGGAAAAGGGCCAGCGTGCTCCCCATTTACAAGAAAGGGAGAAAGGAGGAGTAAGCCATTTAGCCTCACTTCAGTCCTTGGGAAGACCTTTGAGAAAATTATCAAGGGGCACATCTGCAAGGGCCCAGCAGGGGAGGTAATGTTCAGGGGCAACCAACATGGGTTCATTGAGGGCAGATCCTGCCTGACTAACCTGGTTACTTTTTATGATCAGGTCACAAAGTCCCTGGACAAGGGCGTCAAGGTGGATGTAGTCTTCCTGGAATTTAAGAAGGTCTTTGACACTGTTTCCCACTACATTCTCTTAAAAAAAACTTGGTGACTGAGGCGCTAATGCCTACTTAGTCAGATGGGTGGCAAACTGGCTAGATGGTCGTACCCAGAGAGTGGTGGTGGATGGGTCATTTTCAGCGTGGAGGGATGTGGGCAATGGAGTCCCCCAGGGCTCAGTCCTAGGGCCTGTACTGTTCAACAGCTTTATCAGTGATCTGGATATGGGTGTGGAATGCACGCTGTCCAAATTCGCTGACAACACCAAGATGCGGGGCGAAGTGGGCACACTGGAGGGGAGGGCCAGAATCCAGTTAGATCTAGACAAGTTACAGAGGTGGGCAGATGAGAATAGGATGGGATTCAATGCAGAGAAGTGCAAGGTGCTGCATCTGGGGAGAAGGAACTAGCAACACACATATAGGCTGGGGAACACCCTTATTGTCAACACGGTGGCAGAAAGGGATGTTGGAGTCATTGTTGACTCCAGAATGAACATGAGCTGCCAATGCGAGGAAGGGGTCAGGAAGGCTAACCACACCTTGTCATGCATCTACAGATGCATCACAAGCAGCCCCCAGGAAGTGATCCTTCCCCTCTATGCAGCATGGGTCAGGCTGCAGCTGGAGTACTGCATCCAGTTCTGGGCGCCGCACTTCTAGAGGGATGTGGCTAGTATTGAGAGGGTCCAGAGGAGGGCCACTCCCATGGTCAAGGGGCAGCGGGGCAGGCCCTACAAAGAGAGGCTAAAGGGCCTGAACCTATTCAGCCTCCACAAGAGAAGGCTGAGAGGGGACCTGGTAGTCATTTACAAACTCACCGGGGGGACCACTGAGAACCGGGTGGCGGCTGTGTTCTCCCGGGTACCACCTGGGGTTACCAGGAATAACAGCCACAAATTGTTAGAGAGAAGTTTCAGGCTGGACATCAGGAGACATT